CAAGAGACAAAAGATCTCCACCAGCATCAGACAGGAGAGCAGCATCACAGCCCTGGAGACCTGACCCCGGCTGGCACAGCTACCCGACATGCTGCTTCCAAACCTGGCTTCGAGATGTCCTCTGCAGGCAGCGTCCCCTTGCATGGATGGGTGCTCCTAAGACTTCGGGCTTGCCACAACGCCACCTCCCCGAACAAGCTGGTGATTCACTAGAAGATGCTTTTCCCAGCGGTTCTCCTGGAGCCAACCATACCCTCACCCCAAACTTTTAGGTAGAGGACTGCATGCTGAATCCAGTGAGATACTGAGGTAAAGGTATCTGAAAGTCACTCCAGAGGTGTGCCATGGAGCTGTGCCCCAGATGTGCTGGACGCCGACCCCGGTGGCTCCAACTCTAGCTTGAGTTTGGGTCTCTCTCTCCATGGACACATGCAATATGTCGGAAAAACCTGCTAGGGCATCGTGTGTTCATTCCCCCTCCTGCCAGCACCACAACTCTGCCCAGCGGTTCACCCAGAGATAGCTCGGAGACCTCCCCGCTTGCCACGTGGTGATGGAGGCTCCTGGAGATGCAGCCGAAACCTCGTGCTTAACTCTTCACTTCAGATCAGATTTACAGTCGAAATCCCAATACAAGCTCCCCTTTGTTTATCAGCCCTTACTGAGAGAGTATGAACTCTCATGTAGACATTGCCTGGGTACACACATTTAATTGACTTTAAATCTTTCTGTAAATACTGTGCTTATTATTTCCAGCGTCTTGAATGCCCATTTCACAGCTGAACTGTGAGCCCATCTGCTCTAGAGCTGGTATGTGGGTCAGTTGTTTAGATCCACAGCCACTAAGGACCATCAGAAACATCTGGAGGACAGGCCGCCGGTGCAGGGCGAGGTGCTTTGGAAGCAGAGAATGGGGGCATTAGATGAGCCTGGGGTTAGACCAGAGATCATTTTCCAGCTCCATCCCTGACTTCTCTGTGGGATCATGAGCAAGCCATTTCCTCTCCTCCTTCTCTGTCCATCCTAGAAACATGGCAACATGCCCCATCTCCTGTGCTTTGTCCAGCTTCAAAACATGTCTTGATGCCCATAGTTTCATAGCTGGTGGGGTCAGAAGGGACCTGAGCAGATCATCAAGTCCGACCCCCTGCCATGAGCAGGAAAGGATGCTGGGGTCAAATGACCCTGGCGAGATGTTCATCTAGCCTCCTTTTGAAGACCCCCAGGAGATGCTTTTCCCAGCGGTTCTCCTGGGGCCAACCATACCCTCACCCCAAACTTTTAAGTAGAGGACTGCATGCTGAATCCAGTGAGATGCTGAGGTAAAGGTATCTGAAAGCCACTCCAGAGGTGTGCCATGGAGCTGTGCCCCCCCCTTGGCAAGTTTATAGGTGGCCACCAGATCCCCTCTCAGCCTTCTCTTGTGGAGGCTGAACAGGTTCAGGTCCCGTCGCCTCTCCTCGTAGGGCCTGCCCTGCTGCCCCCGATCATGC